CTATACGTGACATACGAGACACGGAAGACTGTTTTACTATAGACACGATTAAATTATAAATAAAGTTAGAAACAAGTGTTTAACAACACTTGAATGCTATCACCTAGAAAACAAGGAAGCTATGAAATATTTTTGATAGGGTCCTCTTTATCTTATTTCCCAAGTTAAATGCAACATAACTTCATCGAGAGTTTATTCAAAATTATGAGAGATTGAGTGTTATAAAATGCATCGTTTGAAATGGTCAATGGTCATATTTCGGCACTCAATTAAATATCCATGCAAATGTCTGTTGAAACATGAGCTGGAAAATAGGAATGAATGCACTTGGCCGATCACTTGTTTTGCTCCTCTGTTTGTAACATTTCTTTAATTGCTACAACTATGATAATTATTATTACTACGATTATACAACCATTATGATTAATTATAAAATATGATAATTATTATATAGTATATATATTAGAAACTATTATTCACGTTGCAAGCTCTGTTGATAAATAATGCAATGTACAAATGATAACTTTATCTATAAACAAATATTATGAACAAATTTTCTATGTAATCACGAATAATAGAATTAGAAACAATATTACACTTCTTTACAATCTTTTTCTAATTATAGCATGTTCTGTTATAGTTTTTGAGAGGATTTAGTTTTAGTTTATTACATTGTGCAATGAATAAATAAGTTATTCTCTCATTCCTTTTTTAATATTTTATTGAACTTACACCTTATATTAAAAAACATGTGTTACAAAGGATATTGATGATATGTAAACATTTAAGAATCCTCCTCATCCTGCAATTCAAAGATAATTGTCTTAATACTACTTCTTTTAGCTCCCTTTTTTGCATCTTCCGACTTAATTTTTTTTATTTTACTGACAGTAAATCGTCCAAATTTTTCCCACTCGAATTTACTTCACCATTTAAAATATTATTTGCTTTCCTCAGAAACTCATCTTCTGCTGCCCCACTACTCTTTTTCGAAGCTCTTGGTGCTGTAGGGATTGCCACACTTGAAGAGATAAACACCTCTACCAATATTATGTCATTATTGGCATCCTACAAAATAGCAGAAGAAATAATTTCGTGGATACCACAAAAATATATTCCTATAACCATTTATAAGCAAAAAATGCATTATTTTTTATATAATATTTATGAAAATAAATATTTTAATAATTAATAAAATCTTATACTTATTAAATAATATTTTATTTAATAAAATATTTTATAACAATAATTAGCAATGAAATTCGTGAATGAATTTTTCAATTACCTCAGGATCTGGTACCTCTACGGGTAGAATCTCAATTGTTGGTCTAAGTTTCGTAGACTCTATTAAAAATTTCAATGAGTCGCAAAGACACCATTTCGACGCATACACAGTCCGTCCCATAGAAAAGATGACTGATGTGAAATAAAATACAAGAAGTTTGTTGTTCGTAGTGTACATGCTTTTTTTTTATTCAAAATGGTCTCCTTGTGAGTCAATACACAACTGGAAGCGTTGGAAAAATTGTTCAAAACAATTCTGATAGTCAACAATTAGAATTGCCTGCAGGATCGTTGTCGTAGGCGTCTGGATATCGGAAATCGTGTCGAAACGCCGTCCTTTCATGGCCATTTTCAGTTTGGGAAATAGCCAGAAGTAGCACGGAGCTGAATCCGGCGAATAAGGAGGAGGTCAAGCGCAACAATACCTTTTTCAGCCAAGAATTGGCGAACGGTCTTGCTTTTGTGCACTGGAGCATTGTCGTGCCACAAACACCAAGTTCCTTGGTTGCGGTATTCAGGCCTCACCCGAACAATTCTCGACCATAAACGAGTTAGAACACTCAAATAGTAATGTGAGTTCACCATTTGACCTTCTAAAGCAAATTTTTTATGGATAATTCCTTTGGAATCAAAGAAAACTGTGAGCAGTGTCTTGACAAGACTTTTCTGCATTCGCGCTTTTTTCGGTTTCAGAGATTCTGGACCTTTCTATTCCGAGCTCAGGCGCTTTGTAAGTGGCTCGTATTGAAAACACCATGTTTCATCACCGGTTAAGATGCGTGACAGGAGGTCTGCGTCCTCATCAGCCGATCGCTTCATGTCTCTGCAGTGTTCCACTCTCCAATGCTTTTGATCGTCCGTGAGTGAGTGGGGCACGAGTGGGCACAAAGTGAACAACAGATCTTCTTTTGCCGCGATTGCAGTACTATATGCAATTACAAGTTGTTTTAGGAATTTCCCAGTGAGCTACTCGATAACGTGGTAGATGAAACAACGATCATTTCGGATAGAATTTCAGCCACTTTTTGAACATTTTCTTCTTCGACTCGAACTGTCGCTGGGTGCTCCTTGACGCTGAATCGTCTTCAATGCTCTCCTCTTCCTCACAAATCTTGCATACCACTTAAAACCGTTTACGAAACTCATTGCTTCACTACATAAACACGTTGTACATTTCAAAAGTTTGTGTGGCACTTTTACCACTTTGAAACAAAACTTAATGTTCGTACGTTGCTCCATTGCTCTTTTCACGACCGATGGGGTCAAACATACTGTTGCAGTTTATTTCTGTGAGCAGTGATGCCGCGCTGTTTCCTTTTTAAACGGAAAGATAAGGAACACAAACTTCTTTATTCCGCATCAGATCAAAATTGCGCGATTGTTCCCGCGAATATAAAATCAGTCACCTTTTCTGTGGGACGGACAGTGTAAGATAGCGTTGACCCTTGAGCAGACTTTTTTGCCTCTTATTTTCTTCTCTCATTGAAGAATTGCGTTCGTAGATTGTAGTCTGCGCGGCTCTTCCGAAATTTCAGTGGAAAACTCCTCCGCTTTGTCTTTGAGGGCACTGTCTTTCTTTACTCCATTTTTGTATTCGATACAGTGAATATCACACAAAATAGTGTTATTCTCATTTAACGAAATTAATTTTACGAGCTCGTCTTGGCTGCATAACTTTTTCGACTTGCGACGACAAAAAGGCAAAAACATTGCTAGACACTTGTAAAAATGATGAGTGACTCCGAACTCCAGACAATAAATGTCGGATAGTCGAGTGTCAAGTGTCTGAGATGGTTTACACGAACAAGCGAATTGGATGTCGCGAAACTTCAACAAGTGTCCTGCAACTTCTTCCGTGACTGTGCACACGGGGACATTCGGTTCCCTATGAGGGTCGGACATTTATTCTTTAAAAAACGTGTTCCGCGTGAACGCGCCTTGCCCCAGCAGTGCCTCATGGGAGGCATGTCAAACAGCACCCGCACGAGCTACTTTCCCGCCTGCGATGCCCGGGCAGCTTCTTCACTCTCGTTTCCCCTCGGAATCCAGAAAGAGGTGTAACGCGCAAGATGAAGCGGCGGGAGGCGGGGAATTGTGGCTTCATGCGAAAAAAATCCCATTATTGTATTATGTTCATATTATTTACTACTAATTAAGTATATCATGTTCAGTGCAGGAAGACATTTTTTCCTAGTTTTCGTTTTCTGTTATATTTTAATGAATCATTTAGGTGTTTGAGTGAATAGCATTGATGTGAAATAAATTAGCAAATTTGTATCAATAAATATTTCTCCCTTACCAGTGCGTAGCTTCTCTAACAGACAAGAACCTTTGTCTGTAAACCTAACACGAACGTAATGCAATTATTGCATCTAAGCAAACCGATGGACTCTTTTGATTCTAAATTCTCTCTTTTGACAATTTGTGTCTGTCTCAAGTCTGATATACCAGTATTACTGAATTTTCACTGATAATTTATTTGCTTTAGTACATGACATAAGAATTAATATAGCTAAATTTGGGGCAATGACTGTCAACTGATGTTTTCAAAAGACTGTCATGAGCCCTGAAATCCATCCGAGTATATCCCACCACTCCGCAGCAATTTGGACAACCCTTACTTTTAAATCTCGCGCCAGGTGCTCTTGACGCAGTGCTCGCGAGTGCTGTTCGAGCTCGCTGTACGCTAGAGCATCTGACGCGCAATTTAAAGGTAAGGGTTATACGAAAGCATGTCGCGGTTTATCACTCAATACCTGGCCCGTAACTGTCTTATGGAGACGTCAGTTGACAGGTCATCCATAGTGCGCCGAAATTTATTTAAGTTTGCCGCTTAACATAAAATAAATAAATTGTTATAAGCTCTCCTTGGCATAAATTCGGGCTAGTAACGTCCATTCCAAACACGTATTTTGTCGCTCCAAAAACGGTCGAATCCCGTTGCGGAGAGTAAAAACTCAACTGAAGGAATAAGGTAAAACTACTTCGAATGTTGCTAACAGGGCGCAGCACGGTCCATGCAATCGCGATAAACGATTCTAAGGGGAAAAAATATAAAATTCATATTCAGACACATTCGCTGGCATTGTTTGAATCGCTAGCAGAACCTCACTGATTGCCGATTGCGTCGCAAACGGATCAGAAGACATTTTCGCATCGTCCAGAGCTGGCGGATATTATTCCCAATGCATGTCTTTGGAAACTCTTCAGAAATCAATTAATTTAGAACGTGAATCTTTCAGAAAAGAAATTGAGGAAAAAGAAGTGATAAGGCGAGAGTAAAGTGACATTCTCTTAAAGGAGAAATAATTTTGAAAGATGAAAGAACTTTCATCAATAATGTGCATAGTTTCCGGACTCCACTGATACTGTTCAAAGCATTCGGGATGATAATTCTGAGATGCAGAGAAACATTAATTCCTTGCAGAAAAATTTTAATTCTGCCAATAAATCTTAAATGCGAATTGAAAATCTCCTGAAAAGCTAATTGCAGATAAAGAAAATCTTCTTTCAGAAATTGCGAGAAAGGATTAACACTTGAAAAAGAGATTGCAATGAAAAGATCACTTGCCTTATGGAAAAAGTTGAGAATAGCTAGAACTGTCAAAAAAGAGAGTCAATGCATCAACACAGTATAGAAAAAATAAAGATTACCATTTGAATCTCTTGAGAACAGAAATTACTTCAAAGCACACTTACTCCTTGAGAAATGAAGACTGAAAAAGAATATAGCTGCAAAAGAAGAGCAGAATTATGTTGAGAAAGAGAGGGAAATAGAAAAACAAGCAGAGAATATTGATTTGCTGAAAAAGGATTTGCACAACAGAAAAGATGAAATTATTTCTCTCCTTAAAAAAGTTGCTGTTCTTGATGAAGATTTGACAGAAAAGAGAATAATGGTTAATAATCTCAGTAAAACAAAATTAACTACAGAACGTATGATTTGTGAAAACGAAATTTTGAGGAATGAAAAAGCGATTCTAGAAACCAAGTTAATTGAAACTGAGGAGTCAGTAATGGAACTGAATAACAAAATACAATCTGTGGATGAAGATTTAAATCAAAAGCAGAAAGCAATTGATGATCTTATGAAGATGCAGACTGAAGAAAATGATTCTATTAAAAAAGAATTCGAAGGGCATCTCAAGGCTGCTGAAGTTCTGAAAGCCAAGTACACAGACTTAAAACTGAAATTCTTTGAGAAGGCTAAAGAATGTGGGAATATGAAGAGCATTTACGAAGAAAAATTGGCAAGATTGAAAGAACAAATGCAAGCAGCTTACAACAAAGAAAAAGAAAAGATTCTGGTGCAAAACAATTCTGCTACAAATGAATTGGAAAAACTTTACAAATGTACAAAGAAAAGTTTATGCAACACCATGGTGACAACGCTGACTTGAGGACTCAAGTATGGGACCTGAGTTAAAAACTTTTGAGAGCCAATGATGAAAAAGCCAAATTGCAGACAAGATTGTCATCACTTCTCAATAATCAAGCAAAACATAGTGCACTTGGAGAAGTCGGTAAATTTGCTTTGGAGCAGCATCCTGCCGATAGGCGAATCATTATATCTCAATATAAACAGTCATCTGATCAAAGCGAAGAGAATTTAAAATTTTTATTCGAAGTTATCTTCATTTTATAATTGTATTTACTTACAAATGTAATAATTGCATAACTACCATCGTTGAGGTCCGCAGGGTATAAAGAACAAATATTGTGGTCTGTTAAAAAAGTTCTGCGCTCGTCAGTGACAATTATTAACTTATTGAGATTTGTTAATTATTTCATATAATTGCTATAAGTAAAAAAATTAATGATGTAATAAAACATAACCCCAAACGAAAATACGAAAAAAATTTTCCATTCAAAGATTCCTGCCCATTAGCAAAATCTTTATACAAGGAAGAAGTTAAACAAAAATATGAAATTGTAAAAAATATAAATATATTTTAAATCTCGATTGATTTATAGAACAAATTGGCGAACACATTATCGTATGAAGACGGTATACTCCACCTCGCGCGGCTGGACTTTGCGCGTGCACATCCCTTTCTGAATTTGGAGAATTTGGGAAAAGAGATTGGGAAAAGAGGAGAGACAGAAGATGCCAATGCTCGCAAGCCATTCCAGGCAGGCAAGTAGCTCGTGCGAGCGCGTTTTGTCGTCTATGCTCCACTATCGCCCCCGAATGAAGTACGAACGTACTTTCAACAATAGCATTGCGCTGCTGGCTCCGGCACCAACTGCATCATGCACACCACGCCCCGCAGTGCAAATGCACCGAACGCGCCAGGCCCAAGGCGCGCCCGAGGCCAACGCGAAGATCTTCCGGGATGACTCAACTCGCCGTGACGCCCATCGGCGGCGACGGCGACGGAGGTGGTGGCGGTGGTGCCGGCGGCAGTGGTAGAGATTGTGGTGATGGCGGTGGCGGTGGTGGCGGTGGTGGCGGTGGTGGCGGTGGTGGC